GAGGATAGCATAGACTGAATATGTGAGCAATGACAAAGTTCTATAGACAATAGAAACAAAAAGGAAACTACTACTTAATATCAGGAAGAGACAGCGGAGATTTCCAGGGCACATAATGAAGAAGGAAGGTTTGGAATGTTTTCCAAACCCTCCATTATGTGTCCTAGAAATCTCCGCTGTCTCTTCCTGATATTAAGTAGTAGTTTCCTTAGTGTTAGAAATGTTAAAATTGAGCATCTCTACATTTTCAGTATTTCCTCTTGATACATAAGTATAACCAATGTTTTTGATTATATTCTCCCCCACCACCACCACCAATATTTATATACAGAGTCTGTCCCAAAAATGTATGCACAATCAAGAAAGAAAAAAACTTGAATAAATATTGTAATACTAAATTTATTCAGGCACCATGAGATTAATGCAAGTTACTTTTGGACCTCTACAATCACAAGAGATGCTCAAAATGGTGGCCTTTAGTTTCCAGACATTTATTAGTAGGGTGAACTACTGCTTGGGCAATGTTGTCCAAGTGTTCAGTGGGATTGCTGCATATGCACTTTCAATTTCTTGTCTAACGACCACACTAATGTAGTCGATTTTCTGCAATACACAACTTCCATTAGTGTCCTTTACAAGTAAAAGTCTGCAGGTGTTAAACCAGGAGAATGTGAGGGGGGTGACTCAATTGCATTTCTTTGTCCTAGCCAGTGTCCTTGCAAATTTTCATTCAGCTTGTACATCTCGCTGGTAGTGTGGAAGTGCTCTGTCTTGTTGAAAGAAAAATTCATCATTTTCCATAAAGTTCATATGTTACAATTTGAAAAAAACTACAAAAAGACAAGATTTTCCTACATTGAAGTATGTATACATTCTTTTGCCAGACTCTGTATATAATTCTATTGATAAGGACATTATTTCAGTTTGATGACATCCTTTTAAATGATGAAATATGTTACATAGAATTTTTTTCCATTTTGTCATTCAATTAGCCAACATTGTTCTGATCTATAGACATTTACATCTAATCTATGGACTGTCTATATTTCTGAGATGAGGTATTATGTACACCATTTACATTATTCGGACTATTGTCCTCATCTTTGTTGCCATATTTATTAAAATGTTTCGGCCTTTCAGTATCTGTCTATATTTCTGAAATGAGGTATTATGTACACTATTTACATTATTCGGACTATTGTCCTCATCTTTGTTGCCATATTTATTACAACATTTCAGCTGTTGTATGCTCTGGCCTTCTTCAGATGGTTGGAATGTCAAACTAACTGAACCCTTTATTTCACTCACTGGGGTAGACTGTCCCAATAAACATGGCACATGGAACTATAACAGTCTACCCCTGTGAGCGAAATAAAGGGTTCAGGTTGACATTCCAACCACCTGAAGAAGGCTTGAGTGTACAACGGCCGAAACATTGTAATAAATATGGCGACAAAAATGTGGACAATAGTCTGATTAATGTAAATAGTGATCTATAGGCATTTACCTCTGATACATAGACATTTACATCGGATATTCTTCCATACAGAAGTGGATTTTATGTGTTAAATGATCATCTAAATAAGGATAATACAAACCAAAAGAAATAAAAAAAAAAAAAAAAAAAAACATTATTTCCTTATGAGATATTTGCATCAAGTCCTAAATCCTGTTACCATGACATCAGAATATCTCTTTATTAAAAAGGGGTGATCAGCTTTATATGAAATTGGGCGGAGGGGTGAAATGTTCCTGGGCCAACCAAGAATTGCTTCCAAAACTATTCTGATGTTTGGTCATCTGGTCAAATCTGGGGGGGAAATGGCTTAAGCCGAGAACTTTTCAGCATTTCCTCATGTCATGTTTTATAAAATAGATTATAATTAAATCTTGCCATGCATGCAAAATACGTTATCCTTTATTGTGTTCTTGTTGCCTTGTCAAAGATAAATTATACTTAAAAATAAAATATATTTAAAAAATTAAAAGTAAGTCATATTTAGATAATTTATATTAAATTTAAGTAAGAATATATTTTAAAATTTTATATTAAAGAATAAAAATATATTTAAAAATATAATAAGATAAAATAAATTATACTTTTTTAACTTTGAAGATAAGTTAAATCAAATTATATTAAAAAAAAAACAAATCATACAAAGTTATATTTAAAAAACCTAAAAACTAAAAAAAATAGATAAAGATATGTAAGTGATAAAAGGAAAGAGTTCTTAGAACAGGGGACAATTATAAGATATAATTAATATGGTGTAAATATGGAAATATAGAAATTAGAATTAGTTATACATACGACATTTGAAGAGTTAGAGAATTATAAGATGATAAAATAAAATTTTACTTTATTACCATATAATTCTCTAACTCTTTTTTGGAAGAGTATTTTCCCTTTTCAGTCCTCTCTTAGTTTCAAATTAACACTTCATTCTTTATATAACCCCAGTTTAATGTCATAAGGTTAATATCCGGATTTAATTTTATAAAACCTCTTCACTTTAAGACAAATACCTTCCACCCTCCCCTGACCACTTTCTTGTGCCTTTTGCCTGACTGAAACATTGAAATGGATAAATTCTATATTAATTTTTCGACAGCTGTCAAAGTTAGATTTCTAATTCTGACATAAACTCAGGGGTTGAATAAGACTAACAAAGTTTCTGTCAGTTAAAATAGATCTATCCCCCATATCAGGTAATTTTGGATTTTGTTGTGTAATATATATATATATATATATATATATATATATATATATGCATGTTTCATTAAAAATGACAGACAAGATACTACAGTTAAGCTTTTCATTTAATTTTTCTTGAGTTCGAACAAGAGCTTTCTTTTTTGGATAAAGAGTGTGTAAAAACTGTCCAAATATTTTATAGTTCCGAGTGCTTTTGGCTATACCTTTTAGCCATTATCAAGGATGATTCAATTTTTCAGCTTAATTCTGTGTGTGCATTATGTGTATGTTTTAGTGTGTTGTAGAACCGTTTTTAATTTCCGAATACGGTTAGCACATTGTGGCTTTGTTCGTAGTTAATATTGTTAAGAGTTGGCTTTTTCTTTTTTATTATCAAAGCTTCCATTATTTTTAGTCTTTTTTTGCAGGTGGATGCAGTTAATATATTTGTGTTTTCTACTAATATGTTTCTAATGGAGTCTGGTAAGTTTGTGTGTGTATTTAAATGGGTTCTAATGGAGCTGTGATCAGATAGGTGTAACATAAAGCGTCTGGATAAGCATGTGGTTGTGTAACCAATGTAATTATTTATGAGTCCGGTTTGATCAGGAACACAGTTCCTTAAGGGGCATTTGAACTCATAGATAATGTTTGTTCTTTGTAATTTTGACTTAACTGGTGTGTTGTTATTTTTGAGGATAAGGTTAGCTGTTTAAATTTTTTATAATAGATAATTTGATTTTTTTATCTGGGTCAATTGGGGTAGTGTATTTATTTATAATATTTCTTAGTGAAGATTTGTCTTGTTTGTAGTTAATGTGCATTTGGTTTTTGTAATAAATGTTTATATATATATATATATATATATAAATATAAATATAATATGAAAGTATACCTGGAGGTATCCCAAAAAACATTAGTTCAGGCCAAATTTTTAAACCAGAATTGAAATTCATGGATTCAACTGAAAGAAGCCAAAAAGCTGATTAAAATGTAGTTATCCCTGGTGGCGTCACTTGAGAGAGCTGGCTGATGTTTTATATATATATATAAGTGAACATTGAAGTCAACACTTAGAGGCGACAGTCTGCTTCATAATCAATCCCAAGAAATACTTGAATCAATAAACAAATTAAAAACTGTTCCCGACAAAATAATAGTTAGAATAAACTACAACAATCAATGCCAAAATTGAATAAATAGCTTTAATTAAAATCAAAACAAAACTTAAATAAGCGATATAAACAAATTTTTACTATATTGATAAAAACACCGATTAAAATAAGAAAATAAATATCTAAGATAAGAAATAAAAATAAAAATAAGCAAAATAATTTAACCCAAATAAATAAATAAAGAAATAAATGACTTCCAGTAAAATAACCGCCAAAATAGACTACCCACAATGCACCATTGACCTGTATATATAAATAGCCAAGAAAAATAACAGCACTTGTGTCCTGATGATTGTGTCCAGCATGAAACAGACTGTCACCTCTAAGTGTTGACTTCAATGTTCACTTTTACACACGCTCTATCTCTGATATTGAGCACTTTATCCCATAAATATAGCACACCCATATATATATATATATATATATATATATATATATATATATATATATATATATACCCAAATCACTAATAACACCAGGAATAAACATCCCTGATGAAGCTTTCCAGCATAGTGGAAGATTATTTGAGAAATGAAACATATAACAAATAATTCCAAGTTTAGAAACACCTGTCATTACCAATATAAGTAAAAGACTATTGTCAAATTGGACCATATTTATCTTTGTTAATAAGCTCCCTCATATCTCACAGTTTATCTTATGGCTGCATGGAAAAGTTATCGCTCCATCCAAGAAGTGATTCCAGAATAAATTTTAATATTTAATCAGATTTTGGTAAGCAGGCTGAACCAAGAACTTTTCAGCACCCCTTCATACATTGGCTAAAACATCTAGTGACTGTTACTCTGAAAATTTCAGTGAATGTTTTAGAAGTATAACTCTGTGTCAAAGTTGGCCAAGTACAATAAATACCTGTTTGCTTGTCACCTGTTTGTGGTTTGTCATCTGTTTTCTGTATAAAGAAGCAAAAAGGTAAAATACTGAAATTCCAGGTAGTCAAAGAATTTCAGAAATGACTGAACTATAAAAACAATGAATGAAAAATATGAGAAAAGAAACCTTGTCTGCTTGACCTCAATTCATATAACAAAAATTGATTGTAATAAATTCAGAAATATTTTGAGAAAAGCAGAATCATTAATGTCATTTGCAGTTTTGTTTTTTCTCAGGTTAAACGATGACTTACAGCCATTCAGCTTTATGCCTAGAACAGGAAAATGCGGTCCAAGTTTCTCACAAATCTGCCTGTAAGCAAAAACAGCAAATCCCTAAACTACAGCAATAATTTCAGACCACTGGTAAGAAAAAATTTGAATGATTTTGATCAAATTGTTAAATTTATTTTCAAGTATTAATTGGGAAATAAACGATTGCAAATTTCTACTGTCAAGTACAAAATGGATGATGAAAAGTTCATTGCCTGACCAAGAAATATTTCTTTCCTTGTAATTCTTATGTTTGATTATTTGCCCAGATTTTGGGATGCAAGTTGGCCTGAAAACCTTTCAACACCTTCTCATGTCTCATGCCATGTTCAACATTGAAGTTTTACTTTATCATTCCAATTGATTTTTTATGGTTTTCAGTCACCCTCATCATCATCATCAGGTATGGTTGTAGGGTCACTGTGCAGTTGAGTACCTGACTAGTCCTCCTGCCATATTTTGATTGAAAGCCAGAGGTATTCATTCATGTGTAATATGTATGGGCAAGTAGATCTGGCGGATCCCATCCCTCACCAGGTTAAACCACAGCCAATGCTCTCCAACTTGAAGGCTCACCTTGCTCACTGACATGTGGCTGTTGATTCCACTGGGGGAACCCTCTACCTCTGTCCAGTGATGTTGTGTCATTACTGCAGTCTACCTCCACCCATTGTGCTAGATGGCCCATGATCCAACAAGAAGCTTCATTTGCTGTTTGGCAGGTCTTGTTTATAATCCTGCTGGGTATCTAGCCACTTTCCTCACCAGAAAATCCTGGTAGGGGAACCAGTTTAGTCTCTGATGACCCAACCAGGAAGCCAATTCTAGGTATGATGATAAACTATATCTGGCAGCAAGGCCTCTGATCAGGAGGTTTTGAAGAGCCTGGAACCACATCTTAATTGCTGTTGCTCTCAGGTCCAACCTGTTAGGGTCCCAGCTATGGGCAAATGGTTATCTCCCAAAATGGGGTCAAAATTCTATGAGAGTATAAAAATACATTTTTATAGTAAAAATACCAGCAATATATTTTTTGCAAAAAAAAAAAACTAATATTACCAGCAATACCTTTGACTCTCAGCAAAAGCCCTAATTACAAAATTACATCAATGAAACCTGACCTACAAACTGATTTCTTACAAAGAATACATATTCTATTCATACAAACCTATTCTAAAAATCTTGTCGCCATTAAATAACCCATTGAGGTGTTGATATGCCAAAAAACAAAATAAATCAAACCATAAAGCAACCCAGCCATGTGGCAGGTAATACTGGGTTACATGGTACCAATTGTACTCATAGAATAAACTGAAATAATTTGAATGACTAGTTTTTGGATTTGAGAAAGTAATATTTTGATCAGCTGAAAAATATAAGGAACTCATTAAATGATGAAGAAGCTGAAGTCTGGGATAGGAAACTAACAGAAAATAACTGTGAACAAAATATGCTTATCAATTGGCAACTGATTACCAAATATTTGATTTATAGTCCAAGCACAGAAGCCCAGCATACCTTTTGGGATTGTAAATGGTGTAAAAATAATGTTCTTAGTGATGGAATTTTATATATATATATATATATATATATATATATATGACGTCACACATTATGAAATAGACAAAGTCCGACAATTATTTTAATACATTTTTATGTTTATACATTGTTTTTTATAGATACAAATATTTAAGTAAATGCTCTGTTTATAATATTTATAATTTCTCAGACATTCAGGCTGGCAAATGTTGTTAATACTGTTTATTATAAACAGAGCATTTACTTAAATAGTTGTATCTATAAAAAAGAATGTATAAGCATAAAAATGTATTAAAATAATTGTCGAACTTTGTCCATTTCATAATGTGTGACATCATATATACATATATATACACATTTCATTGAAAATGACATACAAGGTGCTTGTTTAGTTTATAAAAACTGTCCGAATGTTCTTTTTATCTGAGCGCTTTCGGCTATACATTTAGCCATTTTCAAGGATTATATTTTAACTATTAAAATAAGAAATAGTTTGTTGTATGTATGTTTTATAAAATGTTTTCATTTTTTCAAAGCACGGTCAAGATATTGTGTCCATGTTCATAATTAATATTATTAAGTGTTATTTTTTTTGTTTTTATTAATAAGGCTTCCATTATGTTTAGCCTTTTTTTGCATGTAAATGATGCTATTATATTAGTGTTGTTAACAAGTATGTTATGAATAGTGTCCGGTAGGTTTCCATGAATATTTAAATGAGATCTAATTGAGCTTTGGTCAGAAAGGTGTAGAGAGTCTGCATGTCAAATATGTTGTAGTGTGGCCTATATAATTATTTACGAATTTTGATTGATCAATACAATTCCTTGATGGGCATTTAAATTCGTAAATAATATTTGCCCTATTTAATTTTGTTCTAGGAAGTAATTATTATTTTTAACTATAAGGTTAGAGATTTTAAATTTTTTGTAATTACACATCAAGAGGAAACACTGAAGATGTAGGGACGTTAAATGTATATTTTAAATTCTGATTCCCAATGTGCCTATATGTACAAATGAGCCAACTTCATTCAGCTTCCCAATGCTTTTGTTTTGATCACTGTTGTTTTTAAATCTCTCATATTGTGATAGCAGTAGATTTGTTAGGAATCTATCTTGAAGTCAACCTGCCTGGCTCAGCCCTCATGTGTTAGAGTGTTGAACTCATCTGTATCAACATATTCACAATGTTCCGACTGTTGTACACTCTGGCCTTCTTCAGTTGATATACGTTGGAATTTCGAACTGAAACCTTTATTTTGAAATTCCATCGTATATAAACTGAAGAATTCTGGAGCGTAAAATGGCTGAAACATTGTGAACATGGCAATAAAGATGAGGACAGCAGTCCATATGATGTACATAGTGTAAATAGTTATAATACCTCATCTCAGAAATATAGAAAGATCCTGAAGAAGGCTAAAGCATACAATGGTTGAAATGTTGTGAATATGGTAATAAATATTAGGACAACAGTTTGAATGATATGAATAATATAAATAGTTACAATATCTCATATCAGAAATATAGACAGATCCTGAAGAAGGTTGGAGTGTATAATGGTCTAAATATTGTGAATATGGCAATAAAGATGAAGACAGCAGTCTGAACAATGTAAATAGTTACAATACTTCATCTCAGAAATATAGACAAACATTATTTTAGTCTGATGAAGTCATTTTAAAGGATGAAATGTGTTACATAGATTTTTTCCCAGTTTGTCATTATTCACGATTAGTCTAATTTATATATTATATTTCTCCCATAGAATCTGAAACTAAACTCATTGGTAGCTTTTTGTAATTGTTGCTTCAAAAACTTTCTGTCCTTCTTGGCAGATGTTCTGTAATAAAAATAGAAGTGTAGGCAACCCCCCCCACAGCAACATTGACTTCAAAAAAGGAAAATGTTGTTGGATTACCTCCCCCTGACGATAATCACAGGCAATGCTATATTTGAAAAGCTCTTCCTCTATTCCCTTTGTATTTTGGAGCAGAAACACATGTTTCCTTTTTACTGTGATAGACATGAGGCAAGTAAATACTTCAGAGACACAAATTGAGGATTGAATTGAGCTGTTCATAACTTTAACTTTCTTTCTTTATTCTTCTCTAATACATCTTTGTTTATACATTTATTAATTGTTTGTTTGAATTTCATGTTTTGTGTTCTTTTTTTTTCCCCAGACTCACGTGAGTCTACCAAATATTATGTGTAGGATAAATGTACCAGGAGGCATGAAATGATAATACTTTCCATTACTGCAACAATGGTTAGAAACAAAAAGCAAAGACATCAGCATAAAATCCAGCTTGGCTTAAATAAATAAAAACTCACAAAGAATATTTTTTGTGGTGTTTGCCATCAAAGCTGGAAATGTTGTATCTGGGACTCACAATTTGTTAGTAATACAAACTTTCATTGTCTAGAACACTTCAAGATACATACAAATGAACATTCATGTCATGCTGAAAGCACCAGTTCTCACCACATCACCAAAGTTAAGCAATGATAAGCCTGCTCAGTATTTAGATGGGTGACTACTATAAATAAACATTCATAAATGCATGTTAACTTCCAAAACTTTGTTCACCAAACAGTTTTAAAATAAGGAAGGAAAATAATTCTGAAAAATTTCAGTAACAAAGAAAAGGTAGGCTTCATTTAGACAAGACTTTAAATTTTATTTTTCTGATTCTGTAAGACATAATTAAAGTGTCTTGTGCAGCTTCTTTGTAACAATAAAAACTTGAAAATGAAATATAATTAATCAAACGATGGACCCTAAGAAATAATAAGATGAAATGGGAAATCTTACTACATAATATGCCCCATGTATTTGTACGTTTTGGCAGGTAACTTTTATTGTTGCCAGTGCAATTGAGATAATTAGTTATTTCACTTGCATTGTCAACTCTAGGTGGCAGTGTCTTTATAAAAATCATGGACAATACAAATGAAAGATCCTCTTAATGAAATCCAGAAAATATCTAAGAATATCTCTGTACAGATGTGCAATTAATTGATTTGTTTTTTTTTATAGCTTATTGTTATGATGTTGATTTGGGGTTAGTAAAAACAAACGCCAAATAACATGTAACAAATAAAAGGGGTTTATTAGGTTGGTAAGTAGGTACAGAAATCACCTGAGTAGTCTATAACTAACTCAACCAAGAACTTCTCCGACTCTGTCTGTCTTTTGACATGCCACTATTTAACGTCTTTGTTTGTAGACAAGTTCATCTTCAAGAGGGGTGGTAGGTTTCCGACACAGCACTTATCAACATTTTTAAGGTTATTTAAAGCCAAAACATATTTTGGGATTGTAAGAATTTTTTTGGACATAATAATAATTTTCTGATACGAGCCTTACTATTTAACCTATATCTGGGAGGAGAAGAGGTTGACTCATACTTTTCCCAAGTGCATTTGCATGTAAGTGAATATAACGAACCTGACTGGAATTCGAACAAAGCTCTCCAATTTCTCATTCCAATATGTTATCCATTACACCACCTGCACATCCAAGCTTACAGAACTTGGTATTCCCATGGATGTGCAAGTAAAAATTGGAAGCCTCATATGTGAAAACTTAGTATTATGAAGAACTTACAAAAAATATGGCATCTTTACTGACATAATTGATATTATGCCTAGAAACTCTTGTATTAATATTATGTCAGTAAAGATGTCATTTTTTACTTTATTATAGTTTATTATTTAATAATAATATAAAACCAATCTTTCATTTTATGTCCAGTATACACTTATATTAAATTGGAGGATTGGTTTTATATTATTATTAAATAATAAACTGACCCCCACCCGAGAATGACTACATAATCTGCTTGGAATGAGGGCTAAAAATATCCCCCTCCTCAAATTTATAGACAAATCCTACAGATGCTGGGATATTTTCCTAACCAATAAAAATGGATGAATTCTCGGTTTCCTGTGTGTGATATTTTTTGTTCTTGAAGTCAGAACACTATGATCACTTGACTGTATCCTGTTCGCATGAATTTTTTGCCATATTAACTGTTCCTTTGCCCAGTTTTGAATTGCATATATATATATATATATATATATATATATATATATATATATATTTATATTATTTGCTTCATATTATTTTGCCCTGTTCTTTTTCTTCCCTTTTTTATTCCTTATTGAGAATTTTGTCAGTTCCATTTGTTAAGCATTTTGCCAACTATACTTAACCATGGTTAATTATTCCATATAAATAAAGACTTATTTTTTAATATAAGGACCTAATAATAATATTTGATGGCATGGGTGAATTAGTAAAAAAAGAAAAGAATCTGAATGTATGCAGTGGAAAATTTTAAATACAAACACGTCTTGATGATTTTAATGAACCATGTAAATATTTTCCAATTTACTGACATCAAGTGAAGATCCATTTTGAAGGCTTAATGACATTCTATACTGAATTCCAATCAAATACTTATTAACTATACTTGCATTGATTTTATTTTAATCATTTCATCTCAATCAAGGCAACAAAGCCACTAAGCTGCAAGGGGCTACTGAGTGTTAAAGAATATGAGACAAAGAAAATTATTAAGGAGAGAGAACAATAAAAGAACAGGAATTAAGGAAACAGAAGATAATGATTGACATTGCATTTTAAGTTTTGTAGATTAAAGTTGACTGGAAAGCAAGTAACTAGAAGAGAGTTCCACAAGCGAGAAGTACAAGAGAAGAAATTGACCAATATTTGTCTATATTTCTGAGATGAGGTATTATTTACACTATTTACATCATTCGGACTATTGTCCTCATCTTTATCATCATACTTATTACACTGTTTCAGCCGTTGTACACTCCAGCCTTCTTCAGGTGGTTGGAATGTTGAACTGAACCCTTTATTTCATTCACTGGGGTTGATTGTTCTAGTTCCACGTGCCATGTTTTAATGGATGTTCTAGTTCCACGTGCGATGTTTTAAGGACCGACTTAGTACAAATACAAGCCTCCACTGTGAAATCACTCCACAACAATATTGACAATAGTCTGAATGTAAATAGTATAATTAAACTCACTAATCTTTTAATTAAGAAATTATGACATGACAGTAATACAATTAAAACTACACCTTTGCTTTCATTGATGTCTTTGACATACTCACGGTTATTTTTGTTTTAATATTAATGGTTTCATAGCAATGGAAATGGTTTAACAATCTGATTCTTCTAATTCCTTTCCTCAAAGACTGAACATACAGTCGTTTCTTTTCTTATCCTGCCCTCCCCGAGTCTCCAAGGATGCCTTGTCTGACTTCAATGGAAACTTTTCAATGTTATCTCACATGCACCTAATACATCTGGTGTACCACCCGGTGGTGCCTTACTAAATAGAGAACAGAAGAAAAAAAATAAAACTTTTTTATAAGGATAACTATCTTTTCTAAAGTTCTTGAAATATGATAGCATTTTACATGAAATGTATACAAATAGTGGAGATGTGTTGGTGTAATGTTTAAAAGCACAGAAAATGGAATGGGTGGGGAGAGTTTAAATTCCATCTGTGACTGCTCATATTCACTTTGTACTAATTCCCAAATGGGAAAGACATGAATCCATCTTTTCTTTCTCCAACCGTCTACAAGTAAAATAGCAAAGCTGACTAGATTCTCTAGCCTTGGTTGGCAACCAGTCTAGGAAAATGACAACTCTGAATTCAAATCCTGGAGAAAAACAATAGGAAATCATTCCGCTATCTTTACCAAGAACAATCATGGAAATGTTTACAGATATTGAAAGAAAAGGTAAGTGTGGAGAACCATAACAGCCCAAGGAGACACATTACTTAAAGAGGAGGCATATGATTATTTTGATGAATAAATTATGCTGTAATATTATAAATATATTTCTTATGTTTTTGGTATTATAAAAATAGTAGCATAGTACCCATAAAAAATGACAGGATTATTTCTGTGTGCCATGTTTTGAATTAAAGTTTTGGTCCCTCTCCCTAGAACTACCACCTCAGAATAAAGGCAGAAGTGTATAGTTTCATGCTCATTGGATTGGGATCAAAGCATAATATCTGTTCACATCGCAGCCACGTTCTCATCTTCAGTCAGGTTCGACATGGCAAAAAACATTGTAAGCCTAATCTCGGGCATTCTCTCCAAAGTTAGCACCTGTCCATTCCACTAGAAGTGGGCGTTGTGGGGCAGGCGGTAGGCTGAGTATTTTGAGTATGTTTTTTAATTCTGAAATTAGGGTTTCCCCCCCCCCCTTCTTTTGAAATTTCAAATGAGGTAATAATTTGTTTTCTAGTTCTCCAAATAAATCATTTTCATCATAAGTTATCTATCATCGCCTGATGAAGGAACATTATAGTTCTGAAACATGAAAGTTTTTGTGTTGTGATGTAAAATATTATAATAAAAATATAATAATTATATATATATATATATATATATATATATATATATATATATATTATATTGCACTGTTGTTAATAAAATAGTGTTTGATGTAATATAACATTGCTATAAGTTATATATTAATAATAAATAGACATTTTTTTCTTCACCTCTTAGTTTCATGCACAATGCAATCTTCAAGTGCTGAATTGAAACTCAATTCAACACTTGACAAATGTATTGCATTGTGCATGTAACTCTAAGTCATCCTACAAGTGAGTAAAAAAAAACATCTTCATTCAAGCCTGTTTCATTAAATATAGACATATTATGTCCATTTAATTTATATTAATCCTGTCTTGGTCTAATTATCTTCTTGATGTTAAGTTAAAAAATGATCAAGATTCTTCTACAGTTGTGGTAGGTTTTGAAAGTAGTGTTAATAAATGAGCTAGTGAACGAATCGGTGTATTTAATGTGATTACAACATTGGCTCCTTTTGTTGTTACATAGTTGGGAAAATCCTATTGTTTTTATTCTTAGTCTATTTTGTGTTACTTTGTTGTCTGAAATTTGGTCACCACCTATGACTTCCTTAAGGTTCTACGGTCTACACCACCTATGACTTCCTTAAGCCTATGGTCTACAATTTGCTAAAAGGCCAGGTTCCTCAAACAAAGATTATACGTTCAATTTGAGATGTAGTATTTCCCAGCAATTTTTGATTGAGATAGCGAAGGTAGAGTAGTACTGAAAGTGGTTACCAGAGAGATGCATTTGGATTTAATTTTAATTTTATACTTTAGGGTGTCTTCTTTCAGTGTAGAAATTGCTTTATTTATTTGTTCCCTGATTAAGTGTTTTTATAGCCATGTGCTGTGAAATGTTGATTGAGATTTTTAATGTGTTTTGTTCTTCATTGTTGGAACATATCTTTCTAAATGTTTATGAATAAGGAAGATTCTCTTTGAGGTGTTTTGGGTGGGAAGACTTAAAGTGTAGATAATTGTGGGTGTTGATGTTGGTGATTATTTTTAGTGTGCAGTGTCATTTGTAGTTTTAATATATATATATATATATATATATATATATATATATATATATATATATATATATATATATATATATATAAGGATTATGACTTTTTTGTAACCCTATGTTCCCCATGTCATAAATCTATTAACTTTTGTTCAAAAGTAATAAAAATGGTATTTGTTTTAGTTCTTGAAAAAGCAATTTTACCAGATACACAATAAGGGTAAAAAAGCAATACCCTGCCAATTTGGACACAGAGATCTATTGGCAGGCAAAATTCAAATTTAGTTGTATAGATACAGTTCTCCTTATCCAATTTTCTCTGCACTATATTGTTTGTTTGCACTTAGTAAATAGTACACACAAAAATAAGATAAGAGGAAAAAAATAGCCAAAAATTAATGGCAATGATTCATCTAAGAAATTCATTGTTTTCCAAGCAAAATACAGATACTGTCAACCTAGTTTGAGATAATATCTTTCAAATGTCTCTTCATTTTCTGGCGATTGATGGATTCATTCATTTTCTCTGGCTTATAAACCATTTGCAGATTATTTAAAGCCAAAAAATATATTTAGATTGTAAGAATATTTTTTTTTTTTTTTTTTTTTTTTAGATAATAATGATTTAGTGATACAAGTCTTACAAATTAACCCATTGCTAGGGGGAGGAGAAGAAACAGATTCATACTTTGCTAAGGGTATTTCCTTGTAAGTAAAAGAATGAACCCAACTGGAATTGGAACTTGGTTCTCTGATTAACAATTTTGAGCCATTATCCATTACACCACCTGCACATCAAACCTTACAGCACCTGGTATTCCCAAACAGTCACCCACCTAGGTACTGACCAGGCTAGATATTGCTTAACTTCAGTGATTGTACAGGAACCAATGTTTCAACATGATATGGCCGTAAGCTACTTTATGACAGGGAAAATCAAATTTGGATTAATATTTTTGTATTTTTATTTTTATTATGGAATTTTTTTTTTTAATTCACCAAAAAGCATATTAACTTTGTGAACAATTAAAAAAAAGAATTTAAATTTAGTTTATGTGAATAAATGAAATGTTTTACAAACATTATTGAAAAACCAAATTTGTTTCTTGCAGTTATTCCTTTGTAAAATGAGTGGGAATCTATACCGAAAGACAACCAACCAAAATGTCTTCCTTGTTCTCCTGTTGGCCACACTAATAATTTTGCTCAGCTTTGCATTAATATTGAATTCTCACCGGTTTTTGCAATCTACAATGGGTGACCTTGACTCTGATCCAAGTGAGTCACCTTCCCAATATACAGGATTCCTTGTCAAGACGAAAAACTGCAAAATACCAAACTTGGATCCGTTTGAATCATCAGTTAAGAATTATTTCCAATTTAACGGACCTTTACACTGCCCTGACAAACCAATGCTCACATACCAAGATGATAACATGCTACGAATTAATTGGACTGCTATTAAAGTTTTCAAATTAAATGATTTTCGGGATTGCCAATATCAGCCGATTATTCGTCCCAATCAGAGTTCAGACTTTATTTTTGAGTACATCCAAGATGGAATCAGGTTCTCCAACGATATTGAAGTGAAACACGAATTTATGAGGGTCATGTGTTACAGCACGAGTGGGGGACTAATGTACACCAATTTCCACTCGTTTATTCTTCGGGATGACAATTTGGTCAATCAGCGATTGAACTCTTTGCTAAATGCACCACCAGTCAAAGAGAAAATGAACATCCTGCTTATTGGAGTTGATTCCATTTCACGACTGAATTTCATCCGGCAAATGCCTCGTACACGAAAATACATTCTCGATCAGCTCAGTGCTTATGAAATGAATGGCTATAACAAAGTTGCCGATAATACGTTCGTTAACATTGTTCCCTTGACAACAGGTAAATATGTGAAAGAATTGCCCTGGAATGAAAAGCTGGCAAAAGAGCCATTTGACAGATATAACTTCATTTGGAGAAACTATTCTGATAACGGCTATATGACAATGTATGCTGAAGATGCACCGTCAATTTCAATATTTGATTATTTAAAAGCAGGTTTCCATCAACCTCCTTGTGACCATTATAATCGTCCTTTCTTCTTAGCCATGGTTCGAAACAAAGCCCTCTGGATGAAGAATAAAAATTGTGTCCTTAATCGACTGGAAACGGATTTCATTCTCAAATACATTTATGATTTTACAAAAGTTTACCATGATAAACCACACATGGCATTTGCATTTATAACAAGATTAACGCACGATAACATCAACAGCGTCGGATATGCAGATGAACCTTATTACAATTTTTTCAATCAGATGGAACAAGAAGGAAGACTTAACAATAGCGTTGTGTTTTTCTACAGTGACCATGGGTCAAGATTTGGAAAATTTCGATCAACCTATTTGGGAAAGTTGGAAGAGAGATTACCATTCATGTTTCTTCTGTTTCCAAAATGGTTTATCCAACGCTATCCGGAAATTGACAAAGTTTTGAAAATCAACTCTTATCGATTGACTACTCCTTTTGATATCTATGAAACACTTGTTGATATCTTATATTTTGATGGAAAAGTAAGTTGTTCTCATCAGTGTCATTATTATTAACAATATTAGTATTATTCAGAGCAATAAGATATTAAAAATGATAATAGAATTGTTAGTATAATATTTGTATTGATAGTAATAATGCATTAATAATACTGTAATATTAAAAAAAAGTCTAGAAATTTTGCAGTGCATCTCTGCAATTCATATATTTTAACGATACTAAAAAAAGAAATCATTTTTACTTTTATATACACATTATTGAAATTATGTACACATTATTGAAATTATACTCTAACCATAGAAAAAAAAGACATTATTATTTTTAACCATTAGCTCTCTGCATTAATAATATTACTTTCCTTCCCATTGCATTCTTTTTCAATGGCTCTCAATTGCAATATCCTTATTGTTAATTTCACTCAGTTGTTTCCAGTTGCCATAGCAGGATATGACAACACATCTATGAAATTCAAACAAATTCAAATTCAGGTTTCAGTGGCAGGATAAACTTTTTGTACAGCAAATGAAGTCAATGAAGCGATAAAGGTTAAGAATTGATCTTCTATTCTTTTTCTGAAAGAGTCAAAATATTTACTTCCTACCTTTTTTTTATGTAGTCAAAACCTTTAACATTTAACCTTCTCTGGGTAACTTTGTTCTCCAAGCAAAAAGAGTGTCCTGCCACTGTAGGTGACTCCAATTACTGAACAATGCTATTTTTGAATTTTGAAGTTGTATTGTCATGTCCTACTATGGAAAAAGCTAACATAACTTTAACTGAAATCAATAAAAGGGCTACTTCACCTTGAAAAAGAATTCTGTGAAAAGGAAGTAATACTAATGAATAATGCAGAGTGCTAGAGGTTAATGAGCTGAATGCATGAAAATTGCTTGTTCATTATCTTGTTAATCTGCTTTTCTCTCATCATTTACCTGTATCTTCTCATCCTTTTCCTTATCCTTTCTGATCTCAGTTGGTCTGTCCATGTCTTTTTAATCTGAATTTTATACAAACCTGGATTAATATCATATGCTAAAAAGAATGAAAGAATGCATGGATATATGGAAACCTCTCTTTTATGTTTGTTTTGTTCTACCTTTCCATAAAGAATTTTTGTATAACAAAATTGTGGACTTTAATTTTCTTTCTACCTTTCAATTATTAGTTTCTTGATATCCAAGCAGCATATCTATCTGTATCTAAAATTGAATAAAATAATTGATCTATTTGCTCATATCTATCTATATATCCATCAATCTACTTCTATCTATTTATCTATCAATTATACTATCTATCTGCTCCTATCTATTTATCTGTTGATTGTCTATTTATTGATATACTAACGAGCAAAATGGCATTCAGGGAATTTGATCCAAATTGTTACTCTGAGTTTCATGGTAAGTGATCATCAGCATAGCATGAAATTCAGAGTAGCATTTTGAATCTGAGTCTCTTACTGCTGTTTGATTTGGTAGCATTACTGCTCTGTCTTAGCCTAATTTCTAGAGACAATGAGCACTTTAGGGTTTTCAATTGGTAGGTGTTTCTTTTTGTGTTTTCTTTCGCTTTGTTTTCTTGTTTTTGTTTTTTGTTTTCTTTGGTCTTTCATGTTCTTCCCTTTGATAGGCTTAGTGTTAGTAGGGTTAATCTTTCAAGATTTACCAATAGCATCATTTGTTTTGTGTGTGTGTGTATGTATATATATATATATATATATATATATATATATATATATATATATATATAGGTTACAATTAGGGTTATTTTGTTTGTTTAAAATTAGCTATATTTATAGAAGTGTGTTCAGTATTGGGATATATCATTCATCGACACAGTGTTAACATAGATTACAAAACTGCATGATGACTGGCAGTTTCACACTTTAAATGATCATCAGTCACTCAGCAGTGTTGTTTTTTTCTTACTTCCTACTGTTCCTCCTTCACCCACTCCCTTTTCTCCTCCTCTTTTTCACCTACCCATTTCCATTCTATTTAATATTATATAGGTTTCTCAGTCAAAAAATGTAACCAATCAAAGCTCAGAAGGTTTTTGATAAAAAATGTAACCAACCACAGCTCAGTAAGTTTTTTGATCAGAAAATATAACCAATCCGGGTTCAGTAGATTTCTTGTTCAGAAAAATGTAACCAATCAGAGCTGAAGAGGGCCAAAGATTAGGTAGTTACTACATTCCGATTCTAGATAAAAAAAATGTCATTGTCATAAATGCAGGCAAACTGAATAACAGAATAGATTTTAAGACATTCATAATTTTCTTTAAGAAAAATATACCTTTTTTTTTTCTTTCTCATTCTCTTCTGTTTAATTCCCTTTAATGTTTATGCTTTGCAATTGTCTGTCTGTATTTGCTGCTGTTACCAATACGTTCCAATCTTGTTGAAAGTTTGGTGATCACTTTTACTGTCATTAAATGCTTTTGTTGTCTTTTTGACTTGAATCCTTAATGGACAAATAATTGCTGAGTTAACCTGTGTCAATTATTAACAAAATGTTTTGAGTGAATCTAGTGAAACCTATCTGTTCTCTCAAATAATTCATATGTGGAATGTTCTCTTGTAGAAATTCTGAAAGCATTTTGAATGTTTTGACAACAAAGTCAATATGTTTAAGCAGAAGGTAGGAACCATTACTCCTACCATAGGTAGGTAGGTACAATCAAGTAGATAGCTATAAGTTTTTTTTTTCTTATAATTAACTGGTGTAGTAGTAGTAGTAGTATTAGCAGTATCGTTTTTCTTAAATGTCATGTTCCATTAGGACATAGGTAGTCATGGCTCTCCACAGCTTTCTTTTCTTTAATATCTAAAATCTATGTATTGTCATTAATATTTTGGGGAAAGAGTGTCATGGTTTCATATTGCCTTATCTGCAGTTTTGAATTTAGAGTTGTCCTCTTCCCAGACTGGTTGCCAAGAAATGCAAGAAAGCCCAATCTGCTCTGTTGTTTAACTCATAGCTGGGGGCCAGAAGAAGTGGATCCATGCCTTTTTTTTTAAAGGCATTAGTATAAAGTATAAGCAAACTGTCTGAACTGGAATTTGCCAATATTTGAAATTATATTCCAGCTCAAACAGTTTGCTTATACTTTATACTAATGCCCTTAAAAAAGGCATGTGTTCACTTCTCCCTTAGTGTACTTAGAGATATCTTGTAAAAATAAGTTTTTTTTAGTTTTCTTTCTAAGATGTATTCTCTTTGTCAAGTTAGAGACGTATCCATGTTTGTTTATTGGACATGTTCTGAATTCCCCGTTGGTCTTATTAAATATGACAATAATTCTTAATATTTTAATAGAAAATGTAACATTTGATATTTGATGGTTCTTACCACAGGTACAGAAAGCAACCATCAAAGATCGAGGCATCAGCCTGTTCCATGAGATTCCAGAAGAGCGCTCCTGTAACGATGCTAGTATTTTGCCGCACTGGTGCACCTGTTTGCAGCGCATACCTGTAAACACAACTGATGTCATTGTGGAGAAGATTGCCCTGAGTTTTGTCAACCGAATCAACAAGATGACACACCATGTGCAGAAGAAATGTGCCTTCTTGCAACTGAAAACTGTGAAAGAAGCTGCTAAAATGATTGCAACCGACAAAATTCTACGTTTCCAGAAAAGTCTCAATGATGTCCTTAATCAACAGGTATGGATTCTGCTAGGAATTATCTTATTGGAATATAAACATTTCTGTATTCTGTTTTGGAAATGAGTAGCCAACAATATACAAAGTCTACCAAAAAATGTATACATTCTTCAGAAAAGGAAAAACTTATCTTTCGTAGTCTTTAGACTTTTACCTGTAAGGGACCTTAAAGGATGTTGGGCATTGCAGAAAACTGACTACATTGCCGGGCGGGGGTGTCTTAGACAAAAAATTGAAAATACATGTACAGTAATTCCACAAGACACTTTGGACAATGTTGCCCAAGCAGTAGTTTGTCATACTAATAAATGTCTGGAAGCTAAAGGCTACCATTTTGAGCATCTCTTGTGATTGTAGAAACTAAAGGTAACTTGAATTAATCTCATGATACACTATTTACATTATTCAGATTATTGTTCTCATCTTGGTTGCCATATTTATTACATTTTGGCCGTTGTATGCTCTGGCCTTCTTCAGGTGGTTGGAATGTCGAACTGAACCTTTTATTTTGCTCACTGGGGTAGACTGTTCTAGTTCCACGTGCCATGTCTAATGGATGTCAGTTATCTCCTGTTAATTCCCTCTCCAAGTTCTCCACCACCTTAACCAGGTATTAACTCACACTCTTTGGGTTCTGTCACTGGATTTAACCAACGCCTTTATCCACTGTGTCCTTGAGGACATCTGTGTATGAATTTCTGGATATTATAAAGCTAATGTCTTCAGCAACCTTTTTTTTACCAGTGCTCATATTGCAATTTGTAATAAATATGGCGACAAAGATAATAGTCCAAATAATGTGTAAATAGTGTACATGATACCTCATCTAAGAAATATAGACAGAAAACTAATCTCATGATGTCTGAATAAAATTAGTATTACAATATTTATACAAATTTTCTTGGCCAGACTTTGTATATAGGTGCACAGATTATTAGTTAGAATGTTTGTGCTCCAACCATGAGACCCAAGTTCAAATCTCACTGTGATCAATCTGTTAAGGAGGTGACTTCATAATGTTATCAGAATGATATAATCTTAGCTTGCCTCCCTATTGGAAAATGGCTGAAAACAATACCACAGGTTAACTCAAACTTTGTGCGTGAAATTGGGTTGACAAAACTGTTCAGAAGCCATTGATCGTAGCATGAAGTCAGAAGTCATTGTGACCGAGGGTTTAAGTGTATAGGCTTGGTTCAAACTGCTGATCATACCACATTATGTTCTTTCTTCCAGAAACTATAACTAAAGTTTGTTCAATATAAATGAATGTAGTATAAACATCAGGTTGGCTTTTTGGATGTTGAAGAAATACAAATGGGTTTTAATAATAAACATTATTGCCAACTATAAACACATATCTAAAACATTACATTACATCACCATCTTTCTTTGAATCCATTCTTGAAGAATCTAACTTATATATTCTTAAAGAGGTGAGCCATAAATTAGAATCTTGCTACTCCCCATTGTGTGGGTTGACCGCACAAAGGTAAAGATAAAACTCCCACTAGACAAATACACACAATCACAAATACACATTATCATCTGATGCCCACTTAGACATACAAGAATCTTCACAAACCTACATACGCATAGAATTATCCATGGTTCTAATACACATGACATGTGTCTGACAAATGAGGACTGACCCAAACATAAGTGAAAATACCAATGTTTTCTGTCTTTTTGTTTGTTTTCTCTCATTCTCTGATGAAGTTTTAATAAAAGTGAAACATGTTAGATTGATATACGTTTCCTATTTGTTCTTTTATTTTATCATTGTGTTGGATTCCGATCCATTTTTGATCTGCATTTCATCTTTAACTTTAAAAAATTTATAGACGAAATTTGTCCATATTATTTAACAAAAATGTTTGACAGAATTATTGCTGCCAAAATACACCTTATATATATATATATATATATATAAAAGTGAACATAGAAGTCAACACTTAGAGGCGACAGTCTATGTTCACTTTTATATTTACACACGCTCTATCTTTGATAATGAGCACTTTATCCCATAAATATAGCACACCCTAAGGCTATATTTCTTTATATATATATATATATATATATATATATATATATATATATATATATATATATATAATCAGTGGAGGAAAGATATATGACAAAGTTGAAAAAGTTTTCATGTAATGTGTTTTGTCACTTAGCACTTAATTGGATTTAGGTTTCTTTACGTTGATGCAATTACAGATGTGCATGAATGAGTGATACTGGGAATTTTAAATTTAGAGAGAATTCTTTTTTCTTTGTGTTTTGGGGTATATAATCTAATATATAATCTAGCCAATTCCATTTAGATTCTTTTTGTTTCCATCTCTTTTGTTCTTAAAGAATTCCCATACTGTTATAATAGAAGATCTGCCAAGAATGGTGTTGCAAGAACCTGGACACAAATTTACTGTTGCTGAACAAGTGATTAAAGCACAAACATTTTCAGTATCTGTCTATATGTCTGAGATGACATATTATGTACACTATTTACATATATTCAGACTATTGCCCTCATCTTTGTTGCCATATTTATTACAATGCTTCGGCCTTTAAGTATCTGTCTATATTTCTGAGATGACATATTATGTACACTATTTACATATATTCGGACTATTGTCCTCATCTATGTCACCATATTTATTACAACGTTTCAGTCATTGTACGCTCTGGCTTTCTTCAGGTGGTTGGAATGTCAAACTGAACCCTTTATTTCACTCATTGTCGAACTAAACCCTTTATTTCACTCACTGAGCTAAGTAAAGGGTTCAGAAGAAAGAAGAAGGCCAGAGCGTACATGGCCGAAACATTATAATAAATATGGTGACAATGATGAGGACAATAGTCTGAATAATGTAAATAATGTACAAACATTTTCATCTTAGTGAATTGTTTTCTCTTTTAATTAGTGCAGCATTTTTTATGCCAAATTTATGCCAGTCTCATGGTGAGCATCTAATATTTTTTATGTGTTGTTTTTTTTTTAAATAACCCTTTTGTGTTCAGAGAATATTTTATTTAAACATGTTTCTCCAATATATATTCTTTAGTGATATTTATCTATTTATTTTCCAATTTTAGCTTTTATTTTATTATATATTTTTTATTTTTATACTTCTTTTTATTTTAATTTTACATACATATACATATATATATATATATATATTAAGCTGAACTTATTATGTAAGAAGGTCAATAGATTCATGTTTTTTGTTTATCCAACACAGATGTTTTTATCTTATAACAAGAATTACAATCTAATTTGGGATTTTTACAATGTGAAATCTCTCCAAAAATGTTTATGGCATCTCATTCATGACTATATATTTAATAGAATTTCATAATGTTTCCTTTTTATGTAATGGGGAGGTATACCTTAAAATATGGATCTGTTGTACAAAGGTAGGTGTTATAATTCTCAATTTTCCTGCAGAGGGTAGGTTAGTGCCCATAATCTGGTTGATCACAGTTCATTTCATGGGGAGTTGGAAGTGTTCAACTAGGTAGTTGAGAAAGTGTTCAACTAAACAGTTTGTGAAGTGTTCAACTAGGCAGTTGGGAAACCATCAAACCATGTGTCATTAGTCCCTGACCAGGCCCAATATATAGGCCATTAGACGCTTAAAGGAAGGTGTGGAAACTAGCCCTTCCCAGTTCTTTTATTTAGAGCTAACATTTACATTATTTTTATAATCCTAATAATATTTTTATATAATCCTAATAATATTTTTATAATCCTAATAATATTATTACCATATATTTCTGCATATAAGACAACCTTTAAATCCCAAAATTCACCCTTAAATTCTGGGGGTTGTCTTATACTACAATTCTAAAAAAGAAACCTTAAATTCTGAGCGATGTTAGTCGGTAGGCTAAGCTTGGCCTCGGTGTGATAACCAATAACGTAGATGAAAAAATTCACATTATCAAATAAACTGATAATAAAAATAATAAAACCATTTCTATCTTGTATATTACTGGAATAACTTCATAATAAATTGCCTATTTGAAGAATAATTCTGCATCAATGATATCAACTTGTGTCCATTCAAGCTCAGCTGAGAAAATGTAAACATTGAGTTATGATTGTGTTCACAGCAGCCTTCATCTTTTACTAAATTTTCAATAATCATCATTAATTACGGCAATAATAACATTGAAGGTAACATAATATTCATTTCTCATTAAAAATTCATTATCATTTTGGTGTTAAATGATAATACAATTTAGGTCATCATACTCTTATTAGTGGTATTTTATGATTGTTAATGAAGTATAAGTAAATGGCCATTAGTACACCAGGCTGTTTGTAACTGTTTAGATATAGAAAAAGAAGAGGAAGAAGTGTTCACAAGAGATCATGTGGTGATACATAAACAAAACAATGGTTTCCCTATTAGGGGACATGTGTAGAAAAAACATGATAGAATCAGTTTTGTTATTTCATTTATTTTGAATTTCTAAGAATACTGTAAGTAACAACATTTCCAATAACATCATCTTTATATAATCAATAAGTAGTTATTTTATATTACAGGTATAGGATAAATTCAGGAAAATTTGCTATATTTTTTTTACCTTGTCTTATCTGTGGAAATATATGGTAATTATAATTATTTGTCAATTATTACTTAATATTTTTAATTATGATGCAACTGCCATCATTGGTATAACATTACCGTTGATGTAGAAGACTGCAGATAGGCTAAAGTAAATGATTGTAATTAGCAGTTAGGGAGCCCAGAGTTATCTCTCTTGGGTAGTCTTTAATTTAAATTGCTCAGAAACCAGTGGAAGAATACTTAATTCCCCATATTAATAGCTGCTATGTTCTTGACAATCAAAAATGTATACAAACTTTGGTTGTTAGTAACAGTTTATTCATTCATTCACTTTTTCCACAAATTTCCATTCAAATTTTCTTCAACAAATCAGTCTATTATTTTTCTTTTTTATTTCAAAACCAATTTTCATGTTAAAAGATGTTATAATCTGAGATAATGTTAAATTTATATCTAGATTTTTGGAGGCATGCCTTCTCTATGTCTGTATATATTTAATACATGTTTGTGATTTATTTTAGGTTTTTTATGGCAACCGTGTAGATGCCATTGTGGATTACCAGCTGACAATTGAAACAACACCAGGAGGTGCACAATTTGAAACAACAGCTCGATATGATGAACAAGAAGGGACGTTTACACTTATGGAAGAAGTTAGCCGGGTGAATAGTTATGGCAGCCAATCGAGTTGCATTGATATTTTGGCCCTCAAAATGTACTGCTTCTGTGGCGGCTGACCCGACATGTTACTCAGAACCTTCTCATCTTGAATCATTACTATGTTTGCTCCTTAGTTTAAGGGTCGGGAATCACATTTTCTTCAATGGAAACAAAAAACTGGGCCTAATATTAGTGGGAGGAGAGATTTCGTTTTGAAAGAGTCAACATTTTGAATTGTGACATTTGTAGATGCAATCGTTTGGCTCATAATAAAATTTGCATTTCATTACACACACGCACACGCACATGTTCAGTAAAGATTTTGAGGGTAAGAACATGTCACCTTGGTATCCCACCACCTACTTCTTTTCCGGTGATGTTTTCAAATTCCTGATACTTGGGCAGCATGTGCCCTTACCTCTTCAGAAATGAATACAGATACACACAACATTTTGTTACACACAGAGAAAATATATATATATATATATATATATATATATATATATATATATGATATAGTTTTAAGATATGCTATATTTATGAGTTAAAGTGCTCAATATCAGGTATAAAGTGTATGTAAATATAAAAGTGGACATTGAGGTAAATACCCAGAAGCAACAGTCTACTTCATAGTTAAGTGCAGTCGCCATGTCTGATGATATATATATATGTATGTGTGTGTGTGTGTGTGTGTGTATTATGGCCTGACAGTATATATATATATATATATATATGTATGTATGTATATTTGAGAGGCTAAGAAACAAATAGGAAATATTTATAAATCTAACATGTTTTGCTTTTATTAAAACTTCATCAGAGAATGAGGTATGGAAAAAATTTCTGTTATAAAAATAACAGAAATTTTTCCATCTCTCATTCTCTGATGAAGTTTTAATAAAATCGAAACATGTTAGATTTATAAATATTTATATTTGTTCTTTATCTTATCAATCTGTCATATGCCGATCCATTTGATCCCAATTCATATATATACACTCATATATGTATACATTCCTTTTTTTTCTCCTAATGACTTATATCTGCACCCCATTTTCTGCACTTAAACACCCAGTATTGCTTTAGTACTATTTTAGTGCTATTTTAATTTTGAACTATGAATCAGCATCCATCCCATGAGCATCTGTATATGTTTTTAAATAAACAAAAAGCTCTATCTTGTGCCTGACGAGTTGGGTAGCCAACGAAACTTAAGTCGCACACCAAACGTAGGTATATATGTATTTATTGACATATATTTCTTAGCTTTGTCTAGTCACATTGAACACTATTCTTTCTACACCTCTTGGCTAAATTTGGTAATTATTTATTTGCTTACTTGTGTATAAGGTTGCTAATATTTAGTTATTTCATTTACCTAACCCTATACCTATATATATATATATATATATATATATATATATATATATATATATATATATATATATATATACTCTCCTGTTGTATTCAACATATGAGGGTTAAGTAGATCAGTTCCTAGAAACTGACAGCCCAACACCAGCCCATGAGATTTGGTTGTAGTGGTGAAGATATTGTACTGAACCAATTACACTTTTTGAAGGGCTGCATACAGAGACCTGGTGCACTATGTGCCACAAGGTCCCCCAATGACCCTCCGCAGGTTTTGAATTCAGAGTTGTCCTTCTCTTAGACCAGTTGCCATCCATGGCTATAGAACCCAGTCTATCCTGCTATTTACCCATAGCTGTAGGGAGAAGAGGAGGATTCGTACCTTCCCCAAAGGTATTAACATGCAAGTGAATGCAATGGATTTGACTGGAATTCGAACTTGGCTCTCTGATTCCTCAATCCAAGGCATTATCCATTACTCCACTATGCCCCCTATATATATATATATATATATATTGGATCAAAGGTATGAGAAAAACCCTTTGAATCTTGGAAGTTGCATGCATTTTCAAGACTAGTTTTCTATTTCACTTCAGGCCAAACAGAATTTCTTTTCGTTAAGGATTTTATCATAGATTCAATAATAATAATGAAATTAACCCATGACTGCATAAACTTTTCTTAATATTTTAGTTCTCTTTACCCAAGCTACCTTGCTAGTGGTAATCTTAGGACTGGCAGAGTATAAATTTTAGGTAACCTCATTTCTAAAAATTTGAAGACCATACAGTAATAGGTTAAATAGTTTCAATATCATAGCTTAGTAGGGCTTAATTAAAGCAAGGAAGGTATGAAAGTTAGTAATTATTAAATATTGAGGATACCTCTAACAATTTGACCTATAATGTGTGTGTGTGTGTGTGTGTGTGTGTGTGTATATATATATATATATATATATATATATATATATATATATATATATATATATATATATATATATATATAGTAATAATCCATTGGTATATAATCCAAGTGAATCCTAATAATATAAAATATTAAAACTGACCCACAAAAAGAGCTCAATGTATTTATTATAACAAAGCATATAAATTACATAGAATAGAAATCCAGAATTACCTCATTTGAATAGCTATTTCAGTCCAGGCCTTTAAACTCAGAGGTGTGAAGAAATTTATTTCTTCACACCTCTGAGTTGACAAGGCCTATAAGTAAGTCTTGTGGGCCGAAATAGCTATGTGAATGAGGTAATTTTGGATTTCTATTCTATGTTTTATATGTGTGTGTGTTGTTGAATCTCTGGAGCAGTCAGCATGAATTAAATAGCATAAATAGCTTATGAATTCAGGTGAAGATAACAACTGAACAAGGAGCAGTTGTTTCTTATGAAAATGAATATTTTAATCAAAGCCTAAACTAGAAGGACATTATAGTCTGTGTGCTTTGCTTCATTTTCATTTCTCTTTCATTCCATCTATTCACGGACACAGACATGTGCCTCAAATGTTTTATTAGCTGATTTTAAAGAATCTTTCACTCATATCAATGAAAGAAATGACAATTTTCACAAGTTCTTTGCAAATGAAATTAACTTTTTTGACAATACTGATAAATATTTAACAGCAGCATGAAAAGGCATGTTTTTAGATCTCCAATATTTAACTATCATGAAATTATAATTAATAAAATTATAATTTTATGACCCATCATTGTTATTTCAAAAATATAATTCTTTTTATTCAATACTATTATTCTGTTTGTTTGCATGTACGAACATTATACTTTTCCATCTACGATCAGAGTGTAGTATCTGTCTGATCCATGGCCCTTCTTAGTTGGAATCAGTTTTACTTTCAGACCAAGAATCTTATGTAATAATATTAACTGTGAAGGAATTGGGAAAGGTGGAGGGGTATAGTGGAGGTGAGTTAAGAGAGAGGAGGAGGAGATGAGAGAGGAAGAAGATGAAGTAAGTGTGTGGGAGGTGGTGGTGTTCAGAAAAGAGGTTGTGAATGATGAAAGGTAGGAGTTAAAAGAGAGAGGAGGAGGTGGGACACAGGAGGTGAGGGAAAAGATGAGTTAAGAGAGAAAGGAAAAGAGGGTGTGAATGAAGAGTAGGTAGGAGTTAAGGGAGAGAGGAAGAGGCGGGAAAGCCGAGGTATGAGAGAGAGAGAAGGAGAGGGAAAAGTGGGTGTGAATGAAGAAAGGTAGGACGTAAGAAATCAAGATAAAAATTAAAAGAAAACTGGGTGAAAGGAAAAAAAATAAGTTTGGAGGGCATCAAATGTTTTCTGGTTGAATATCAAGAGACAATGAGTGAGAAATTGAATGCCAACAATATTGTGATACATTAAAATCCTTTAAAAAGAGATAAAGCAAAAGAAAGAGAAAAGAGGATTTAGTCAAAATTATTTGTGCATTCTCTATAAGCGTATAAAATAATCCATATTTGTATGACATTTAATAAAAAAAGCAGTTAAGTAATAAAACATGGCCATGAATTTTCTTGGAATCAATAGCGAAGTTAATTTCTCTTTTATTGTGACCCTCAACTCTCATTAGCGGGCTGTTGATTTATAAAGAATTCTACCCTTTGATAGAACTTATTTTTTGTCTTGTAGAGTTGCTAACCACTCTCCTTGCACCAAAAAAAGTAGGGTGAGATAGATGGTTTAGTTGCCGACCATCTGACAAGGAAAAAAAAGGAAATAGTAAAAAAAGGCAAACCTTGCTAAGAGCTAAAAAATAGGAAATAGTGGAGAGCCATCATCACCTACATCCTGATGAGACACAGCACATAGAAGAATGAAGATTGGAAGGGATAAGGAATAGAATGAGAAGATACAGGCAAAAGGTGTAAGAAAGGGTAGAGTCATGAAATAATGGATGATCATGGGTGTTAAAACCTGTGAAATTATCACAAATCATGTATAATCCCAAATCCAATAATCCATATTTCTTGAGAATTATTTCCATATTTTTTTTGCCTTGAGACCATCTCCTTGATTACATATATGTTTATGGCCATACCATGTTGAAACACTGTTTCCCATGCAATCACCAATGTTAACCAACATTGAATCGAGTCAGTACCTTGATGATTGACTACTTGGGAATACCAGGTGCTGTAAGCTCGGGTAGTGTAATAGATAATAGCTCAGAATTATTAATCAGAGACACAAGTTTCAATTTCTGCTGGGTTCATTATATTCAGTTACACGCAGATACCCCTAGGAAAGGTATGAATCCACCTCTTCTTCCCCCAGCTATGGGTTAATTAGTAAGACTTATATTACTAAACCATTATTATCTCAAAAACACTTGTTACAATCTAAAAATATTTTCTGGCTTTAAATAATCTGCAAAGGGTTTAAGCCGTAGAAAATAAATCAACCAAAGAAAATGGAATATGAAATTATGCTTTAAGCCATTTTATCTTAGAATCACATTAAAGTGAAAATTCACCAAATACTGTCTGCTCTCGCATTCAAAATAGACAGGCCTGGCTGGTTATTCAAATTTTGATTTTGTTTCCAACATACTCACTGTTAATCCAGACCCCACATTTATTTTATATTCCACTTTTTAGCAACCTATTTATTCCAAACTGCTTTCTCTCTCTCACTCTCTCTCCTTTTTTGTTCCCCCAAATTAATTTTGAATTACCTAGCCTTTTGTTCCAACCTGCCCTTCTATTCCAACCCACCCTTTTGTTCCAACCTGCCCTTCTGTTCTGACCTACCCTTTTGTTCCAAACTGTCCTTCTATTCCAACCCACCCTTTTGTTCCAAACTGCCCTTCTGTTCTGACCTACCCTTTTGTTCCAACCTGTCCTTCTGTTCTGACCTACCCTTTTGTTCCAAACTGCCCTTCTATTCCAACCCACCCTTTTGTTCCAACCTGTCCTTCTGTTCCAGACTTAAGAGTAATGATGTCATAATAGGAACTTGGTGTGTGAAGCAAAATGACTCCCAGTTTTTCCTTCAATATTAAAAAAAATATATATATTTTGGCAGTTGAGAAATGTTTTTGTTTGCCTTAAGATGTAAATTGTGATGGTAATTTTTTTGGTTATAAAAATGTTTTAATTCCCAAACACAGTCAGCACATTGTGGCCATGTTCATAATTAATATCAAGAGCTGGGTTCTTGTTTAGTTTTATTGATATTAATTATTAGTTTTAAGTGTTATCCTTGATAATAGCTAATAGATTAGCTGAAAACGCTTCAGATCCTAAGATCATTTGAACAGTTCTTACACACTCTATGTCTAAAATAGAAATCTCTTGTGAGAAAACCAAAACATTTATCATTTTTTTATCAGTGTATATTGCATTAACAATTTTTTTGAAATAACAATGATTTTTTATGGATACAAGTCCTACTATTTAACCCATAGTAGGGAGGAGAAGAGATTAATACATTTCATCACTGTATTTGTATGTAAATGAATGTAATGAACTTGACTGGAATTCTGACTTAGACATAGGAGAAAGAAATGATGAGGATATGTAGGATAGATAACTGTTGACCCTCAACTTTAAAAGGTTTTGTTGTTGCAATTGGGGAATCTGATCCATAATATAGCAGCTCTGTTCAAATGGAACTTCCTTCTTACTAATGGAATACAAAAGGGAGGGAAGATGGTTCGCCACTGTGTATATGTCATGGTAGGTCTTAACCCAGAACTGGTGGTACAATACCTGTTTTAGAGATTATCAATTGATGTCCCCTGATCAAGAAATGTTGTCAAATATCTGAAAACATCAACTCCTTTCTTAAATTCATGTTGGATGTCGGCAGAGAAATTAAAGAATGCTGTAAATATTGTCAAATCAAGGAGGAAATAATACGGAAAATGATTTCTCTTGCTTACCATTCAGCAACTTCATTAAAACAAAAAGCACACAAAGAAATGTGAAAAACATTCCACGCTGGTAATTTATTGATAACAGTTATTTTTGCGTGTCTTAATGAACTTTGATTCAATAACTGTTTTCATTTGTTTATGTATAAAAATTGTCTCAGGAAACATAAGAATTCACAGATTTCATTCTATAAATAAAAGCAATAATGACTGTCATCATTTCGTTCAGTTTTTCTTCAATCAAACAACAATTCCAAAAGTGTCTTTGCAATAAAATTTCATTTAAAACAAAAAAAAAAAAGCAAAATCTTTTTCTTATTCAAAATTCTTTTCCAGGCTTATCTCATAATATACAGTGATATGAGTGCTTTGACATGGTGTAATGTTTATTAAATATGTCTCACTAGATTAATTATGACTGAGTAGTGAGTTTGATCATCACAGGGTGCTCCACATTTCAGGCCTTGTGCCATATTTAAGCTACATTTAGAAAATCAAGTAGGGCATTTTGACATGGTGTGTATATTAGCAAGCTTGTCTCACTAGATCAATTACAACTGAGTAGTGAGTTTGATCCCCACTGGGTGCTCCACATTTCAGGCCTTGTGCCACATCTAAGCTATGCTTAGAAAATCACCATAATATACAGGGACGATGAAGGCATTGATTTTATCTCTGAAGCTGCAATGGATAGACAATAAATGGTGTTAGAATCATTTCTTACGTAACAAAAATTCATGTCACAATTATTAAAAAAATAAAATTGGTTTTATTTCATTTGGAACAAATCTCTTGGTTATCATCATAAATTTAAACGTGCTGATCGTTTATAGGGCAAAAACGTCCTACAGAATTTCTTTTACTTACACTATTTTCATTGTTTGGACCATGGTCCACATCTTTGTTGACATATTCTGTTGTACGCTCCAGCCTTCTTTAGGTTATTAGAATTTCAAACCTAACCCTTTATTTATTCCACCAAAGTAGATTGTTCTAGTTCCGCGTGCCATGCCTCTTCTGTATATCTCAATTTTCAGTTATTTCACTTTCGTAACTCAACTCTTCAAGTTTTTGTTCACCTCTGCTGTGCCCAGGCATTGAATGTTGGTTGAAGTAATCCAATGACTTGACCCAAAGAGTTGGGAGTTCTTGCCAACCATTACACCACGTCAAAGTGCATTAAATGATGCTCTAAGCTTGAATTTAACTGAAAATGCGATACCCAGAAGAGGCATGGCACGTGGAAATAGAGCAATCTACCCCGGTGGACGGAATAAAGGGTTTGGTTCCAAATTCAAATCACCTAAAGATGAGGACAATAGTTCAAACAATGTAGATAGTGTAAATAGTTACAATACCTCATCTCAGAAATATGGACAGATCCTGAAGAAGTCCATTTACTATGAGTAGGAAGTCTGCTCATAGAAACAGCAGTCACAAAGTGGGTCGCCAGGCGTAGCGTTGAGTCGTACGCATTGCTGCACTGAACTATTGTATTCGCCATTATTGTATTATTAATCCATGTCCCTCATGTAATTAAATCTTTTCATAACTTATCTTTTGTTCCAGTGTTTTCTTTACAATATTATTAACCCGAAGCTTATACAGTGGCGATGTGGATAAGTTGGAAGAAGTAATACTCCAATAGTTTTTAAGAATTTATAGGTTGACCCCTGACCCTAATACTGCATCGAGGATGTCATCGGCGGAACTAAGGTTTGCCAGGAAAATGAAATCGGTGTTTGACAAATTATTACTTAGAATTAAAATAAAAGGTTGGTATGGTACGAAATTAACTATAAAAATCTTTCAAAGCTGAAGGTTAGGTTTTCTTCGGGATTTACAAGGCAGGAAAGGAAAATGGGGAAGGTGGTGAAATAGTAAATCGCATTGGAAGGATGATGTTTATGGTACAATGTTGAAATTAGCGACATAAAAGGCATTTAAACCAATTAAAACCAAAATATGCCAAGGAAATAAAAACCTAACAAAGAAATTTATCTATGGAAGTGCTGCACGATATTCCAATTATAAATATGTCGAACATAACGTGTTAGTCAAAGGAAAGGAGATTCAAGGGAAGTGAACTCAGAAGAAAGTACGTATTCAAAAAAGGAAGGTGTTGTGTAGAAAGACAACTGACTTTCTCGGCATTAATTGTTGAACATAAATTCGCCCATAAGTAAGACGTCCGCTCATAGGAACATGAGTCGCAAGGTGTAACGTTGAGTCGTACGCATTGCCACACTGAACTATAGCATTCGATCTTATTATTAATCCATGGCCCTTATGTGATTAAATCCTTTTCTTTACAATATTATTAATCAGAAACGTATACGTATATAAACCTTATAACACCGACTATATTTATCATCAGTGTGGCTAGACATGCTTCAAGCCGGGATCGAAAACCGACTGACTCAGTTGGAGTCTCTCATCCTTAGGCTATCAGCAAAATGGAATTTTTAACACGTTATTTATGTGTATATAAGCATTACTGGCTACTAGAGTGCTCAATTCATAGCGAAGAGCTTTTTGCGTTAATTAATAGCAGCCGGCAAATTCCCTTTCTTCCAAAGTGCTCAACCTAAGAGAGAGTGTGCACATATATATATATATATATATATATATATATATATATATATATATATATAAATATGTATAAATATAGTTTTGAAGTGTGCTATATTTGTGGGATAAAGTGCTCAATATCAGAGATAGAGCGTATGTAAATATAAATATAAAAGTGAACATTGAAGTCAACACTCAGAGGCGACAGGCTGTTTTATGCTAGACGCAATCGTCAGGCCTGATAATATGATATACCAATTTGGGTGTAGTTGCGGAGCCAACTACATAGGCAGAACCACCTTACGAATAAATCAACTCATACCCAGAAAAATTAGGAAAGGTGCGTTCCAATCTGGTGATGTGATCAACAATATATATGGCACCGCTATCGATGAGAACCTTATAAACAATCCATGCTGTGCCACCAATTTCAGCATTGACTCTTTCTTCATCCTTAGTCATGCTCATTCTTTATTACATTTGAAGGCATTGGAAAAAATCTATGTCAGGTCCAGACAACCTTTAAACCTGAAATTACACGGCGTCTAAGAATTTGAATGAAACCTGTCGTGTAATTTATTGGGTTATTGTAACGTCTTCCTTAATGTAGTCCTTATCGCTCACCCCTTAACCACCTTTATCTAGAGACGAGACGCGTTAGATTTGAGCAACATCCAGCCGACACACTGGGGTTA